AGGAGGCGGCGGCGGGCCCGGCGGTGGTGAACGGCAGCCGGTTGCTCGCCGAGCCGGCCGGAGCCCCCGGCAACCACAGCGGGGCCCAGCTCAGCCCCGTCCCCGCGCTGCTCCGAGACCTCTCCGCGCTCAAGGCCGCCGTCATCGGGGCCTGCGCCCTCACGGCCGCCCTCATCGCCTGCCTCCTGCTCCGCGTCTTCAGGTAGGGCCCGCCCGGGCCGCGCCGCGCCTTCCCCGGCAGGTGCCGGGCCGAGGCCGCGGGGGCTCCGCTTGGCCCCGGCCGGGGAGGAGCGGGGAGGCCGGGGGTCGGGTGGGCTCAGCCTCCCCCCGGAGAGGCGGGAAGCCCGGGCGATGTGGAGCTCCTCGGCTTGTGGTGATGGTTTTTAGAGCCCGGCTTCCAGCAAGGTGTGTGTAAGCGCCTCATGAAACCGCTGGGGAGCTCTAGGGGTGGCACCGGCCTCACAAATCTGCATCTTCCCCCACTTGTGCAGAAAAACAGGGCAGGGGATGGGGTTTGGGTGCTTTTTTTCAGGTGTGGGGTACACAGGTCCCTGCTCGGTGATGGCCGGGGACAAACCGCAACGTGGGAAAGTCCATCTGAACCTATGAAGATACGTGGGGTGGTTTTTTGGGGTGAGGACGGTGGGTTGCTGGACCCAGGGAGGTCATGGGGTCTCCATCCCTGGAGCCCAAGGGATGGTTGGCTCCAGGTGGACCTGCTTGATCTCTAGAGGTCTCATCCATGTGCGTGGTGTGCACCATGGGGCAATGCAGATGCCACCACTGTAGCAACTCCTGCCAGGTAAAAAAGACAAATCTTTTTGCTTTTAATGGAGCTTAAGCAGATAGGCCTGAGGAGGTCCGTAACGAAAAGTTGATGTTGGCTTAGACCACAGCCTGGTTTAACTATATCTATGATGCATAACCAAACTCCCTGATGTTTCGGTGGGGTAGGTTGCTGATGAATGCAAGCTCCTGCTCTCAGCACAGAAGGGAAGATGCTCCTGGTCACTCATGGAGCCAGGAGAAGTGCTGGTGAGCAGAAGGAAGCCGGGCAGGGGTTTGCATCTGCTTGGTGCTCATATCTCGTGCATTTATCGTGGCATAACCAGTGTGAGCTGGTTCATTTGCTGCCCTTCACACTGCTGAAGTGGGTTGGTGCTGGCGCGTGCTTGACTTATCCAGGCAGCCCTTGAAACTTGTGTAATGTCTCCTGCTGCGAGGGACACGAGCAAATTAAACTCAGTCCCTTTAGAAAGCCAGTTTGCCTCTCGGCTTCTTGCCAGAGCAGAAGAAAAGCAAGTATTAAAGCCCCATTTGGCACTGCTAGTGTTAATTATTATTTCTCTCAGGGTTAGTGGTGAGAGTCCCCATGGTGCGCTCGAGGCTGTCCTTGTCTCGTGCAGTCTACAAATAAAAAGTTGGTGTGTGTTTGTGCCCAGCTTTGCCAGGGAAGATCACAAACTTTCTGTAGTTAACAGTCGTCTGACTTCTATGGAGGGGCAGCAGGAAAGATACCGGATTGCGGAGCAGCTGGTGCTTGGTGGCAGGGAGGAGGTGTGTGCCACGTCTCAGGTGACAGAAGTAGTTGAACAAGTGGAGTTGGTGAATTCTTCCTTGTTCTGTCTTCAAGCAGGTCCTTTGTATTTGCATGATGGCTGCAGCTGAATGCTCTGCTTCTCCTGCAGCCTTCACAACAGCACTATTATAAAGTGTGGTCTTAAGGACCGAAATGATAAGAATATTTTCTAAAGAAATTGACATCTAACTAAATTCTTCTTCGGTGTTGCAGCAGCTGGCGAAAGACAACGCAAGTAAATTTGCTCGTTAAAGTAAGATGGTTCAAAAGAACCCAGTAAAATATTGAAGGGTTTTTTTTAAAAAAATCAATATAACCACTTTGCCGCTGTATAAAGTTTTCATGGATGAACACAGCAAAATTGATAGTAGGTATATGAGCTAGAATTAGGAAGTCTATAACTAAGTGCGGAATGAAAAGCTTAAGTTTTTACTCCTAGTTCTCTCTGATCTTGGAGGATTTATTTCCTTTGCCTCAGTTTCTTCTGAGTATAAAGTGAGACCTTGTGTCAAGGAGACCTGGCGTAAAGCTGAACATTTCTAGCCAAAGAAAGCAAACTGATAGCTTCTAAAGACCTTTCCCTATACTATAGTCAGCAAACTCAGGTCCAGGTTAAAGTCACCTTGGGAATGATGGATTAATTCTCCCATGCCAAAGTTGTCGTTATGCAACTGGTCAGAGTTAATGTAGCATTAAAGATGTGTAAAATAAATAAATAAATCCGTCAAAGATCTCCCATATAACTAAGAGAACCTGCAAGGAAAATGAAGCTTTTGGCTTCTGAGTGCATTTCTTTATCGGTCAGAGCATTTGTTTGTAAACAGTTATCCCAGCTGCAAATGAGACAAGAATGCCAACAGGTATGTTTGTACAGTGTCGCACTTGAAGCTGACAACATAGATTGGAGGAGATTCTGTTGCAGAAGAGATAAGGGATTTACCCTCAATAAATGTAAAGCTTTTCTCCATCAGAATAAGAGCTTTGTTCATGCTTAGTCAAAAACATTGCAATTTTTTTTCTGAAGTGTCATGGATTCCTATTAAAGAGATTTTGCTGGAATCCAATCTTTGATTAAACCTTTACTGTGAAATTGCTCTGGGTTGCTGGAAGTAAATTATCATTTTAGATATGGATTGTAGAGATGAAATGAACTAATGAGTGGCCAAATATTCTTGTCACAGGCATTGGATTTATTTTGTTGCACATTTTATTTTTTCATACATCTCATTTTTATGTATTTTAAGGTAAATATTATTTTCCATTTTTTGTTCGAGCAGGGATGGATATATTTCTCCAACTTTCTAGCTCAGAGATTCCTTTTCATTCCTTTTGGGAATGTTATGCTCTGAATCCGTCTGATGGTCCTGTGATTCAGAATGTGGTGTTACCCAAAGTGGTCTGAATTTCCTTTCTCTCTGTGGCTACTGGGGATTATGGAGGTCAGCCAAGACTTTGCTACTTGGCTACATGTGTAAAGGCCTAATTTGCTATAGTATTTTTATTTTTTTTTTTTGCCAAGCTCATTTCTGGGCTTGCTTTCTTTCCTACACCCCTGGGCACTGTGTGTTCCCAACCCAAAACCATTTCCACAGCAGACCAAATTTCGTGTTGTTCTCAGTTAAATAGTTGGGTAAGTTGCATTACCAAGAAATGCAGCGTCTTGCAACAGTTTATGAACAGTTCATGTGGCTGAGTTCACCCTTTGATCTGTTTTTTTGATTTTTGCCTTTCTGCCCCCACGTTCTGCCCTATTTCTCTCTCCTGATGCAGCTCAGTTCATTTCATTGCAATGCAATTCTTGGGATCATCTCCCAGGAAACGTGATTTTTTCAGATGGGGCTATCTCTGCTGGTAGAGTATATGCCTTCTAGGGAAACTGCATAAGTTATTTCTGCTCAAATGGGCCAGCTGAAAGCAACCCAAGGCTTTAGTTACAGAAAACTGTGTGCAATAAGTGTTTGCTGCGTGTCTTGACCTGTCCTTGAATGAACAGAACCCAGGCTGGAAAAGGCTGCTATTTATCTTGATTTTTAGAGAGAAGCTACCTGTTCATGTTGTATCTCATTGCTATGTTACATTGCTGCTTGTTCAGTTTTGATTTCTTCTTCAAATACGACTTTAAGCATAGTTTTTCAGTAATTGCAAAATTGGTATAAATTACTGAAATTGAGGAGAGAGGTTCAAGCATATGATCATAGGATACAAGACCCATTGTTCTATGAGCTGGGCAGTGGCTCCAGGCCATCCAAGGCTTAACCCCAGAGAGTTTGATTTAAAATTAATTGCATTATAACCATTTAGAGTACTCCAGCAATGACAAGACCTCTGCCAGGAACAGGAAAGAAAAACTCACTATTAAAATGACCTTAAATGGAGAAAAAGAAAACCCCAATAAAGCAACCAGCCCCGAAACATATATTTGTGACCTATGTTGAAAGCTAAATTTAAGCTGCAAGTAGTTTAGTTAGGGCCACAAAGAATGACAGTAGGACACTGGTCCTGGGTCTCAGAGATCCCATCTTTGGAAATACTGATCTTGATGTGAACATGACAGCAAAGTGGCGGAAGGAAGGGAGAGGGAATCGCTGTCTCGTACTGTCTTGGGCTCTTTACAGCTCTGATGTGAGCAGTCACATCAGAGGATGAATGCTGTTTCTTCACGTAGGATTTGCTGTCTTGTAGAGTCTGGGTAAATTCATCAGCTGCTAAGAGGCCTGGGGTTTCCCCAGGTTTATATTTCCATAACTTTTTTTTTAACGGCTAAGGGACCACATTAACAGCAAATAAACCAGTCCCAATTCCATTCCCAATATAACAATGCTGCAGTTCTGGGAGGAAGGTTGTTGCTGGCTTAATTAAACTTCTAATAAGCACTGCTAAGAAGGGATAGGGGTTTTTTTGTTGTCGTTGTTGTGGTTTTTTTCTTTTTTTCCAGGTCCCCTCTCTCTGCATCTTTTGGCAGGAAGTGTTAATGCTAGATTAGAAATGCAGAGACCTCTCTCTCTGGGTCAAGAAAAGCATTATCTTTGAATATCAGGCTTGTTGACTAAAATAGATGAGAGGCGTAAATAATATAGTGAACTAGTGATTTGACTTGAGCATTTACTCCACCACATGATGCTTCGGAAAGGAGGATGAAGTACTGCACATGACTGGTGCTTGATCAAAATAGCCCCTGGTCAAAACACAGAGACACAAAGTCAGCGTTCTGCTCCAGCCCCTCTCCATGTGTTGTCCATCCCCACAAGGCACGGTGGAAGGGAAGGGGTCCATTTGATTTCTAATGGACCCAATCCTAGCTTGGTACACGGTGCTGCAGGTGTTGGAGCCCAGGGGCAGTGTACGAACACCTCGATGGCCAAACAGCTCAGGAGGAACTGGAAACAGGCCCTTGCCTCCAATAAGTTATTCTAAATCTTCTCTCAGTTAAGTGCGCTGCTCGACACGCCTGCCTTCTGCTGACACCAGTGAGTTTGTTTTGGTGGGAGCAGCACTGGGTCTAAAGTGAAAGGTTAATATTCCTGGCAGCGGTTAAATTGTTTTTTTTAGTTCCTTATGATGATTCAGTGCAAGACCTGTAGCAGCCCCTTCTAATTACAGGGGGTGGCTGAAGTCAAACAGCAGAGGCAATACGATTTTTTAATTTTTTTTTTTTTTTAAGTGGAAGACAGTTTTCTGTGCTAAAATACCCAGTCCCACTTCTACTCTGGCTAAACCACTCAAAGAGCATTTCAGTTTGTCGTTGTGGAAGGGGCGTACTCTTCTGACCACAGCTTCCAGCAAGCTTCTTGTTTGCTTTAAAAAAACCCCAGGCAAAATGAACATGGCTGGAAAGGAGATCCTCTCTTTGCCCATGAGGGCTCACCTGTCCTGATCCTGTCCAGGAGGTCTCCAAAGTTCAGGAAACATTTGTATTCTGGAGTTCCTGCCCTGTGCTGACTCTGCTCTCTGTCTGCAAACAAAAGATGCTGCCTGGTCCCACCCTCTGGATAAAGTGCTTTTCCTTTTGCGTTGTCGTCACTGATAATTACAGGGATCTTGCTGGGGTTTGGGAGTTTTAATGTGCAGTGGTTTCCTGAGGGCCAGCTTGTTTTGCCTGGGTGTGTGTGTATGTTCCCAAAACTTCCCTTTAAACTGAGCTCGGGTGGTTCTTCTAGTATATATGAAGTCTATGGGGGTCATCCAAATGAGCAAGTGTGAGAAGATGGACCACTGAAAAGTGCAGATTACTGACAAATTAGCTAGGTAATCTCATGTAGAATTAATTTGAGGATGAAGAGGCAAGGAAAGACCCTTTTCTCTCCCAATGGCAAACAACTGATAGTAGTGGCTTAGCCAAAACCCAGCAGCAAAATGAGCTTTCTCCCTTTTCTAATTGAGCGCTGTGGTTAAGGGAGGGTTGTGGAGGATTAATAGATCACTGTGCAGTGAGTTCTGCTCTAGGTCCTCTTTAAAGTGTAGCCCAAATAGACTAATTAATGGCTGGAGGCTAAAGGATTCTAGTTTCCCATTTCTAAAAATACCTATTCTGCAGTAATTGCTTCAAACACTCCAAAATTAACTGTTGTAAGACAAACTCCATAGAATAAGTTATGTTTTCTAATGGATGGAGCGAGGGAGGATGTCTCTCAATAAAGTGGGCCTGATACAGAGGTAGGGTGTTAAATGAGTGAACCTCTGGAAACCCCCTGCAGACTGTACATGAAAGGCAAAGTGGTAAGTGAGGCTGTGTGTGGTTTGTTCTGACAGGTAGACAGGTTAGGTTTGGTCTGTGTTTAGGCTTCACAGCATGAGTAAATGCTTCTTGTAAAAGCAATGCATTACTTGTAAGATGAGACCTCCCTGCATCACTTTGCTGCTAGGTCTTGACTGAGAAGCAGAATAATATAGAGAAGTGTTTTCAAAAGGATTTTCAAGTGTTTGGGTTGAGTCCTACTGTATTGGATATAAAATTGCTTGTTTCAACAACAGCAGTAATAGAACAAACCACCCTGTGCTCTACGTGACACAGCGGCAGAGATTGCTATAAAGATTAGACGACAGGAGACGTCTTTCTTCTTGCTCCTGATGCGACCTCAGCCTTCAGAGCGGGGAGGAAATGCAAACTGCTCCATCCCAAGGGCTGGGACGTGTTTGTTCAGCCTTGGACAACTGCCCAAAAGCACTGCTGGGCAGAGGCACTGAGACTTCCACATCTGAGCTGGTCACTGGTTTAAATTTTCTTTACTTTAAGCCTGGGAGGGACCATTGCGGTGGAGAGGCAAACACGTGCAGGAGTCCCAGTCTCTCTGTGATGCTCACACCTCGGTCCTTGCTGCTGTGTAACTGTTTAAAAGGTTGCATTCTTGATGCAAAAATGGGAGTGTTGAATCTGGCACACCTTGTGTGACGTGCCAGGGCAAGAATTCTTGAGGGCGAAAGTGTACTCATGATGTGCTGTCTGCTTGGAGGGGTAATTGTGAGTACCAAAATTTAGGGGCTGCTTGCTTGTGCCTGCACCAGCTCCCTTCCCATGGTTGGCAGTTGCCAGTTTTGTTTTATAGAAGGTGAAGGGGAAAATTCTGCAATTTGTTAACCAAAACCATCCAGTTTTCTCCCTGAAGGCTAGCCATATGCATCAGCCCCTTCATTAATGTATAATCACAAACTGGATTCATGCATGAGCAGTGTGACCCTCTTAATATGCATGAAAGGAGCGGGTGAAATAAAAAAGACCTGCGCAATTCAAGCTAGAGGCAGAAAATTAGTTGAAAAGCCATGCCCAATTGTTTGTTAATTGAAAGTAAGTGATAGAAAATAGATCTCTCAAAACCGTGGGACATGCAGGCGCTTGAGCATCTCCAAAGGAAAGTAAGGCTGGCATCTGTAGGAGGAGAGGTGGTAGGTACAGTTAGCTTTGAATGGTAGTGGATAATTTTTCATAGCACTGAGTGTAGAGCATGAAAATTCTCAGACAAGACTCAAGGTTGTTGCTCTGGGAGTCCTGAACTTGGCCTGGTGGCAAGAAAAAAAGAGCAGGCTGTTTTTACCCAAACATCACCACCCCCTTGCTCCTTATAATCCTACCTAGAACATTCTCCTGCCTCAGCAGGGCTTAACCTGGGCTTCCTAATCTAAACCTAAACCCTTGGCTGCTTCAGCTGATTAAGCCCACATCTCGCTTATTGAGCGTGGCAGCAGGAGGCCGCGGTGGGCTGCGGCGCTCGTATGCCTGCCTGGGGTGCCCGAGGATCTCCGCTTTGTCAGCAGCCAAAAGACTGACATTGATCTGGATTGCAGCTGACAAGAAACTGCTCCACACTGACGGGGACAAATGGTGGCCTTGGAAAGGCAGTGGGAGGAGACTCAGGCTGGCTCCGCGGCCTTCACTTTTGGGGGGATCTGAATTACATGGGGCAGTGGTTCAGTGTGGGTGGGAGCAGCTTCAGCCTCTCCAAGGAATACTGTCTAATGACCATCTTTCCCTTCCCACCTCTGTTTCAGGTCTGGCAAGAGGATTAAGAAGACCAGGAAGTACGACATAATCACCACTCCAGCCGAGCGGGTAGAAATGGCTCCTCTGAACGAAGAAGACGATGAAGACGAAGACTCAACAGTGTTTGATGTGAAATACAGGTACTGCTGCCAGCCCGTCTGGTTAGGTTTGATCACTGAGTTCTTATTAGTGAAGACAGCTCTTTTTTTTTTTTTCCTCTGCTGGGCCAGCTTGGCAGAGATGAGGCAGTCACAACCTCCCTTTCACTTTGTGCGAGCGCAGTCACTCTCCGTTACAGCCCCTCTGCCAGTTCTCAGCACACGTCTCTGTACTCTCCTGCTCTTGTAATGACCCCAGTGCTACCCCTAGGGCTGGCTGCCCTCCTCTTTGCTCTGCGGAGCAGCACGAGGGGATACACGTGCCCCAAGTAGCTAATAAGGTTTAACAGACTGAACTTCCCCTCTCGGGCAGCCGCTGGCAGCGTTCCTGTGTGCTCTCGGTGCCTCCACACGTGCTGGATGGAGGGCTGTGGATCAAGGGCTGCTTTCCCAGGCACTGATGTTGCTGTGAGCCTGGGAGGGAAGGGATGGTGGCGAGTCTCCATCAGTCCCTGGGTTTGTACCAGAGTGCTCTCATGTTGTTCTGTGACTGAGAGAGCACTGTGGTCCCTCGTTGATGTTGTTAGTGGTTATCCCTTAGCAACAAACTTTCTTTAAAAGTGTTTCCCTTTTAGAAAAAGAAACGGTGTGACAACCCAAAACTTTTGGTGCCTATTCTGGGCCTGAAATTTATAGCAACCACTCAGCACATGAAGATGACATGCATTGATTTATGGCATCAGGATATATGCGTCTCTTATTCTTGTTTGCATCAAGCCATCCACCGTATTTGAGTTGCATTCTCATCCAAATAAGGCCTACTCTAAAATCTGTCTCACTTTGGCTGAAATAAGCTCTCCTAATTATAAAAACACAGATCTTGACAACTCCTAACTGGAAGTTTTACAGACTTTACTTATGTTGCCCATGTCCTAACTTTGGAAGGGGGGAACAACACATTTGCTCTAAGCACGTGTGTGCCAGCATCTAAAACACATACCACCACATGCTTTGCTGGTCATTTTCAAAATAACTGTTATTTCCCTGTAAAAGTCAAGCAGTCATTGGAGCCATGAAACAATGAAGGGTGTGAGTCGTGCCTTTATGTGTAAATAAGTAATTCTTGAATTAGAAGACTCCTGTCAGTTCTTGCCTGACTGTTGCCATTCTCTGTCGTTTCCCTGTGTTTGCTCTAGTAATTTCAGCTTAGGCAGTTTTTACTTTGGGACTGAGCTTTGTTAAACCCAGAGTGCAGAGATCTGTCTCACCATGGCTACTTTAACAGTCCATGTCTCCTGCCCCTCTTGCTCTTAACTGAGTACTTTTTCTGTGAACTTTTGGTAGCGAGACCAGAGGGGTTTTCCAAAGAGTGAGAACAGAAGATTCTCCATCAAGGCAGTACTTCAGGATAAGGTGTTTAATAGTAAAACACTAGATGAACAAAGAAGAGAGCTTGTTGGAAACCATCTGACTCATGAGAGCTGCAGTTGTGTTATCTGACATTGCTTCCCTGGAGCACACACTGTGCTAATGCTTTCACGAAAGGTATTTGGTCTTCTTGGCTTCCTCCACAGTACAAATGGCTCTTCACCTTGTGTGATGCTCTGTTCAGAGACCGTAGGGGGTTTTGGTTCTTAGCCAACTAGTCCTTTCTTCAGCTGTGGGAATTATTCCTTTCTGCCACAATGTAACAGTTATTAAATTCCACATTTTCTGGGGTCCATGCTGTTTCAGACATACATTTGTTTAGCTCAAACAGAGCTGCCTCAGTTTAGAGGGGGAGATCATCTTACAGCCAAGCCCTCAGCAGTACTGATTTTGGGAAAGCTTCTTTGAGGATGCGTTTGCTGTAAAAGATATCAAGCTCTCCGTATCCTTTGTGCAGCTCAGGGACTACATCCCCAAACAGTTCTATCTCCTGTCACCGGTAAAGACACTTCTTTGCAAATGTGAATTGCTGAATTTGACCGTTGACATCCCCATTAGACCAGTCAGGAGGTCCTTCACGGGTGCTTGTGTTCAGATGAGAAGAGAGGTCTAGGACTGCTGAAGGGGCACCTCCGACATGCCCACAGTAAGTCAGTGAACTTCTGCCAGATCTTCTGTTGGGGTTCCTTCCCCAGTGTCCCTCTGCCCCCAGAATTGGCATTCAGGCAATAGTTGCCTTGTGCCATCTAAGGCTTCCGTTGTTTTTTGCAGCTGGGTGCAGATTCCAGGAAAACAGGGTAAGGAGAGGTAACTTTATCCTTTTCTGCAGTTAATGGGAGTTATAAATACACGCAGGTAGCCACACAACTGGAGAGACGGGGTTTGGATATTCAGCAAGTGCCTGTTTTAAAAGAGCCTTTGTTAACTGCTAAGTCAGGAAAACTGCTCCCCCTCTCCGTTATTTCAAAAAACCAAAAATTATGCAGGTGCATCAGGTGAACTTGCAGAGGTATCAGTAGGGCTGATCCATAAGGAACAGGGTGATACTGCTCTTTCAGCTTGTTGGCCAACTAAAGCAATATGTCATGAGTTGCAGTTGCGATGGGGACAGAGGAGTGACAGGTGTCTCCTGATGAGTACCCATGGGCTAGAGCTAGAATATTCTGCACTCTTTCGTTTATTTTTTAATTCAAATGAAGGTGCAATGCTTGCCAGCCCTCAGTATGAGTTGTGGTGGCTGTTGGGGTTTATTCAAGCAGCCTCCCAGCAGCAGTGCTGACTTGGCTCGTGGCATGACAGAATTCTGGCCTGTCTGTGCTACCAAGCCTTGGAGAGGGGATTTTGACCAGGTGCTGCTTTGGTGACTGTACCAGGACTGGGATTGTTTTCTGAGCGGCTGAACCTCGTGCATCCCAGTGGTGCAGCACGATCCACTGGTGCAGTGCCATGGCTGACAAGAGCTATTATTTTGATTTCCTTGATTCTTTATTTCTGTGTGACACACTGATACTGAAAGATATGCCTGTGGGCTGGACTGGCCATCGTTCAGTGTTGTAACATACATGCTGCTATCAGAAACCAACTTTCTCCAGCCATTGAAACCTACAATTTTCAGTCTCCTTGGCTCCTGAATATCACGTTGAAATTAGCTGGAATCTTTTGTCCTGTTCGTTTTTGATTTAAAGGCTGTGAAACTAGGGAGAAAAGGGTCCATTCTTTGTAAAGTGATGATTTGCAATGCTTTCCACTAGAAAGGCACCAAAAATATTTTTAAAATACAGGCTTCTGGGCAAACATGAGAATAGAGTGAAAAGGGAACCAGTTTTCCAAAGAGCAACGCAGTAGGGACGTGTTGGCTGTGATGGACTATAAGCATTATTCAGTTCAAGTATTACTTATATGTACTGTAAGACAATTCTGTGCTTTCAGGTCTCTAGGGTTACCACCAGCATGGCAGTAAGGAGAAATCTGAAGAGCTTGCTGGAGTACCAAGACATTAGGTGTCTCCTGTGCATGATACTAAGTTCATTACCCCAGTATTAACCTACTCTGGCTGATATACAGGTCATAAATAGAGTCCTGTTTTGGGTTTGTAGGATAATTCTTTACTGAGGAATATGTGGGTAGGCTCTGGGCTGGTATGTTTGAGGTCCCCTCCCATCACTGAAAGATCTGTACCGGCACTTGCATCTGTGTTCGGGGGAGTAATTGAGATTCTGTGCTGTCTCCCCAATGTAATGCAAACAGTGCTCTAATTAAAAGGCAGTTGGTGTCTAGCAGCAACAGGGGAGAAGCGACATATACCTCTCCAATTGTTCTCATGCAGTTAATTTTCTTTCCTTTAATGCTTTGTCCTTGTGTGTATTTGTTTCCAGTCTTACATACGGCATCAAAGAACAGCAGACTCTGTAAATTGGGCTGTTGGATGAAGGTTGTTACTTTCTTTTTTTTTTTTAAACATTTTTTTTTTCAGGAGGCTTTAAGGTTTTGGTCTCCCGGTAGATCCCACCCCCGACTTCCCTTGGGCTGTGGAGCAATGAGAAATAACCACCTTCCTCCCATAAAGCAGGCTAATGAGACCACTTCAAAATCTTAACCAAACACGGTCCTTTCTGTGGATGCAAAAGCCACCCACTGCCTGTCTCTGACAAATGCAGAACTGTGCGTGTGTTGGATTAGATCCCCCCTTTGCCATCTCATTTCAGTAGCAGGGAAGCGGTTCTGTCGATGGCTTCTCTAATCCTGCAAGCACAATTTCCGTGTGACAAGGGGCTGAAAGACTAAATCAAAGATTGTCACACAGCAAAGATGCCAAATCACTTCAACATTAACACCTCCTTGAAAAGCTTTGTGGAAACAGTGGTTTTTTATAATATGGAGGATGGTTTTCTGTGTGTATTTGCTCTGGTATTGAAAGAGGCGTTTGGATCTGTGTGTATTTGCTCTGGTATTGAAAGAGGCATTTGGATAAAGAAGGGAGATTTAGATTAGATACTAGAAAGAAATTCTTGACAGTGAGGGTGGTGAGGCACTGGAACAGGTTGCCCAGAGAAGCTGTGGCTGCCCCATCCCTGGAGGTGTTCAAGGCCAGGCTGGATGGGGCTTTGAGCAACCTGGTCTGGTGGGAGGTGTCCCTGCCCAGGGCAGGGGGGTTGGAACTCGATGATCTTTAAGGTCCTTTCCAACCCAAACCATTCTATGATTCTATGAGAAGTTCAAGAATTATTCTGAAATCATTATAGAGCTACAGAAAAAAGCAAGCTGAACATGGAAAGGGTGTTTGTTTCTTCATCTCCAGTTCAATCTGTGCTGCTGAAGGCCAAAAGGTATCCCTGTTTCCAACCCAAACCATTCTAGGATTCTATGAGAAGTTCAAGAATTGTTCTGAAGTTGTTATAGAGCTACAGAAAGAAGCAAACTGAACAAGGAAAGGGTGTTTGTTTCTTCATCGCCAGTTCAATCTGTGCTGCTGAAAACCAAAAGGTATCCCTGTCCAGTTGATTTTTTTTTTTTTTTTTGACCATATGAACTGTATTCATCATCATGTTCCAGATGACAGATATTTTTTCATGTTTTGTATGGCATTACACTTGGTGAGCATCTTGGAAAATGAGTTAATGGAAAGCTAAATCCCATCTTCCAAGTGTACTCTTTCTCATCCCATCAAGAGATCTTGGTTTTAAGGTTTCCCTCTCCTCTTTTGCCGCTTTAGCACTTTCTTTCAAGAAGGCAAGGTGAAGTTGTGCAGGTTTCATGATCTTCTACTCAATGGGGTAAGTCACTGGTTCATCAGACAGTTGGCACTGGGTGATAATCAAGGGAGGACCGAAGTAAAGTAGGTTATGGGCAAATGTCCCTGACAAACTGGTGTTAGCTGCCTTCCCCCATCACAGAGCACTCCGCTTGTTTTGTGTAAGTAGAGAAAAGAGATTAAAACAGCTGCAAAAAACCTCCAGTTTTTGAAAAGGTAAATAAAATTGTTAGCTTATTAAGCTTATTAACGCTAGCGTAGCTCATTGGGGGATTTCTTGTCAGCTTCAATAGAAAACTGAAAACAAGTACTGAATAAATTCTGTGGCGCCTTGCACATGAAAGGCTTTCAAAGCGCTTCAGTAATCTGGGATATCAGCAGTGTCTCCTCTCCCCGCTGACTCGCAGCTGGTGGAGGCAGAGCCTTCTGCTCTGGCTGTGCTTGCCCAGCCCAGCTGGGTGAATTTCACAACTGTCCCCACAGAGCTTTTCCAGTCCAGGATAATACGTGAGACCCTGGAGTCGAGGAAGAACTTGGAATTTAAATGCCAGAGCTGGAATTGTCCCAACCCCAGTGTCAGGCTTCTAAATAAATACTGAAAAAAAGCCTCAAGTTTTTCTTGGGGCAGACTGAAGCCCCCATCCTTCCTGTTGGCTAAGTGAAATTCCTCAGTTTGTTTTCCACATGGATTGTGAGTTTTCCCTCTAACAGCAGCAGCACCAGAAAAATGCAGAAGCATTTTAGGAATGTATCTTCCAAAGTGCTCTTGAAAGCAGAAGAGATTTATGTGTAAGGAGTGGTGGCAGGCAGAGGGAGAGGAACATTTATTCTACCACCATGGGACTGAAGGGCTTTCGAGAGCTTGCAGGATGTTTTAGAGGAAAGATGCACCACATGTAAAGGCTGGATTCTGGATTCATCCTTTTTCAGGCTCCGATAGCATTGAACTCTGTGGAAACATCTTCATCACAGTTGCAGGGCTCAGCCTTTGATGTGCTCGAGTCTTTTGGGAGTCTCTGTAAAATATGAGTTACACTATTGGTGTCTTCTCTTTGAATACGGCCTTTCCAGATCCTGACTGTGTGTGCAGCTCTGAATGGAGCATCCTATTGTCTGCTTCTTACAGCAAGGTGTTGACTCTCAAGGGAGCAGCTTTAATGGATTTATTTTTTTTTTGCCAGCGAAAGCCTCAGGCCATTCTGGATGATGCTAAGTGAATTGTGCTGGAGTTTGTAGCAGCTTAATTTATATATATATATATTTTTTTTTTTTTTTTCCCAGCAGGCAGCAGTGACAAGTTGTGTGTAAATGGAGGGGTACCATTTATCCTCATCTGAAGGGGGTGCAAATGACTAGCAAAGTCAGTTGCTTACTATAAATACAACAAATTGCCAAAGCTTTGGTGCTGCTGTTAAGGATTTCCCATGGGTCTGCTGCAAGGGAGGAAAGAGGTGATGAAAAAGCAATTTTTCTTTGGGTTTTGAAGGCCAGGCTCTTTCCTCATGTGGCTGTAACAGTTGTTGCAGAGCACACTGCGTTCTGCTGGCTCATTCAGTCAATTATACACTGGTGGTGCAGTCCTACAGGAGGGCTCTCGCCGCCTTCATGGAGTATAGCAAGTTTCTATTAAGAATTTTTTATTTGAACCCTGAAGCAGTTAAAGCAGTAGGGTGTCAGGAGGGGAATCCACCGCAAGGAGGGCGGTCCATGCGTGCTGGTTAGGAAGGGGCTGCACTGGTGTGGACAAAAAAAACAACTGTGAGGTTCAAGATGCTGTGAAATCAAGGGCAGTGAAATCACAGCCCTGCCCTGTGCACGCTCCTTTCTCTGGTCTGCACAGGGGCTGGTCACAGGATCTTTCAGCATCTGGGTTTTGTCTGATGTAACTCTGGTTTTTTACTTCACTTGGTCTAGTTTCTCCTGGCACAATGTTAACATCACATCAGTGTCCAGTGTCACCATGGAAATCAGCTGCTGGAGAGAACTGATGGCAATCACAGTGAATAATGCTACCTTTTGCTTTGTGGCTTTTTGTGGTTTTTTTGGTTTTTTTCCCCACTTAGCACACGAGTTCTCATCTCTGCCTGTGAGCTATTTAATTGCAAGCCTACAGCTGTACTAATTCTTCCTGCTTTCCAGGTAAAGCAGCTCCGCGGAGCGTTGGTGCCCTGCAAGATGTCATTCTGCTGTCGAGGGACCTGCTGAAGCCATAACTGTGAAAGGGGAGGCTTTCATCTCTGCAGCGTTACGACCAAACCGAGCCTCATCTCCTCCAGGTGCTGTTTGTACAGCAGGCTATGGATCTTCTGACCAAAATGTCACCATTCAGTTCCCTGGTTTCCAAACTGCTGGATTGGAATGACCAGAGCTCCTCTTTGCAAACTCAGCTCTGTCTTGCTTTAGGAAGGCTGCGGCGTCACTAAAGCATGAGAAAAAGCAGCCCTATGTACTTGCAGCTCATCATGGTCTAAATAACTTTTGAAGAAGGAAGAAGAAAAGGAAGATTGAACCAAGCTGCCCCAAGGACTTATTTTCTAAAATCCTCATTCAATGCTTCAGTCACTGTTAAACTTTGGTCACTGTTAAACAGATCATGTGCTTAAAAAAAAAAATATGAAAGGTGTATTATTTGGGACTTACAGAGGCGACTTATGACTTTAGTTGATAGAAATGTAAGCCATGCTGAAATGCCACACTGTCTGTTTAGTGTAGGATTTTTGGGGGAGGGGGTGAGAGATTGACTCATATAGAAAATTTTCTTGACTTGCTACTGATTTTTTTTTTTTGAAAAAAACAACAATTGCACTAAGCTTTCATGATGACATTCTCATTGTCCCAAGGAGCTCTGATCAGACCAACTTGAATAAATGAGACCACAGGGAAATAGGAAGAATCAGGCATGCCCTAAACTACAACAATCTTGGATTAAAGAAGATATATTTTTGTAATTTTCTTCCCTTCCACAGGGAGTGAAAACAGTGTTTTGTACGGTCCTGTGCTTACTGTAACTTGTCTACAATTCATCTATATGACCTTTTTTCTAAGCAAAATAAGGCTTTGTGTGGAATGATTAGATTGCAGAAAGAACACCTCTTGTTTTTCACGGGAGCTTCATGTAAGTGATCTTAATCTGTATCAAACTGGAAGTTTTTCCCCTACCACCTGCTCGACAAATCCCATTTAACTCAAGGATGCGTTTTTAACCATGGCTCCCTGCTGTGCTTTGTGCTGCAGAGGTCAGAGCTGTGGGATGACACCACGAGAATTAGATTACTGCGTCGGGATGGATTGGTTTCAGAAGACCGCAAGCGTGTACGCTTTCCAGGCCATCGTTAGAAAGGGCAAACCTAACTGGTTTAGTTTCTTTACTTTGTGGTTTTCCGTTAAAGTAACCACAGATGCAGTTCAGACTTCTCTTTGACGTGTTTATTCTCTGTTTACTGCACCCCTTAACACCTTTTATTTTGGGTTATTAAGCTGGCTGGAACCTTGCTTTTCTTGGGGAATGCATGTTTTCCAATTTTTTAGGATTTTCCCACTGTTTGCTTGACCGTCTACTGGTTTCCTGCAGTTACAGCCCCTCAAGGAGACCGCAGAGTATCTGGCAAAGCACCATCCTTGCAGCAAGCTGCCAGTTTGGGTTTTTTTTCTTTTTTTTTGAAAGCCAATTGGGATTTGAGGCTTGCTGAGAACACGGAGCTGCTTTGTCATCATACCACAACCTACGGCAGTTCTGCACGGTTCCCCTGGGCCCTGCAGTCAGTAAAAGAGGTGAAGGGGAATTTTTTTAATTTTTTTTTTTTTCTTCTTTCCAGCAGCATTGTGCTTTCCTCAAAGCAGCTCCCATATCACAGCTTGCTTTCCCTCGCCATGAATCAGCAGAAGCTTTGCAAACAGCCCACTCAGCCCGGATGGAAAAATCCCACAGCAGACTGTTGTGTTAATATTAGTCATCGAGGCAATATAAAAATGCTGTGTTATTTTCATTCATGGAATGAACTGGAGTCATTCCATATTACCATTACTAAGCAATATTTATCGTGTCGACTGCCAGGTGAGGATGGGGCCAAGCAGGTTGTGTTCCTGGTGGGAATTGCAGGGACGGGTGAGCTGAATGATGTTCAGGGTAGAGATAAGATCTGGGGCTCTTTCCCTGCCGAGGTAAAACAAGTTTCAGACTCAGGCTAGATGATTCTGAAGGAAATATTGTGTCTTTTCAGGACTAAAGTACTTTGAAGACCGGGAATTGAACTTCTTAGGCAGACCAAGTCCTTCTGAAGTCAAGAGAAGTGGCAATGCTGAGAGGAGAGAGGTTAAAAGCTTCTGTTTGCATTTGTGGAAGGAGGCGATGGAGTGAGGTGGCTGTCCTGGCTGAGCAGACACCATGGTAACGTGGTCATGTCCACTCTTCTGCCAAACTCATTAAGCAGAGCATCAGGCATGCTGGAAGGAAGAGTGGTGGAGAGGGAACGAAGCCTTCTCTGTGCACAAAAGAAAGGAGAGACCAAGTTATGTAGGAGAGAGACGAGAGGTAAAGGTGGATAAAGGGCACTTCTCCTTTCTGAGGGTGAGTCAGTCCTTGAAATCGGGAGTTCTTCCACCAACTTGAGGTCACTTGCTGAGTTGGGCTGGCAAAAGCCAGCAGCTTTCCTTGCTTGGGGCTAAAAGTTCCTACTGTTTCCATAACGTGGCCAAACATCAATGGTAGACAGGGACCAGGTATTTAAGACATTGGAGATAGAAGTGTCCAGCTGCTGCTGGGATGCTCCAGCTCCTTGGAGAAGGTCCCAAACTGTGTGCCATAAGCTAAAAAGTGCTTATGGGGAAGAAGCAGCTGCTTGGTAGAAATAAAAGGCCAACCTCACCAGTTGCTCACGGTCTTGACAATAATCAGAATGCTTTGTTTGATACTCAGTTGCTGTTGCAAATGTGAGGCAATGTTTACCTCTACAAAAGTTGCTGTATGTGATTTCAAGTGTCTGGTTAAATATTCTATAGCTATATTTAGTTAAGATTTTAAGAGCACTTGATGTGACTCATCTAATAGTATATATATGAATATTTTTTTAATGGTAGGAATTAGTTTAAAACATAGTTTATATAATTTGGACTGTTGGGTGCAGGTAGTTCTAGGAGTTCGTTGGAGAAGAAATAGCCATTAACCACTACATGAATGTTTTACCTTAATGTTCTGTGTATCTTACACTGCAGATTCAATCTCATCGTGACTGTAATGTGTCTTAGTATCTGCTGCTGTTTTGCATCGTGCAGTCAGACTTGCTTTGTTCAAGAGCATTTTTAAATGCGTATTTTTTTTTGTTACAGAAAATGAAAAGAGAAACATTATTAAAGATGTCTGCCTGTAGCTTTCTCATTGCTTACAAAATCCACCCACTGGTAGCAGAGTCAAACGGAGCAAGGAAATTAGAGACTTTCCTATTTGTGTGTGCTGGGGGGGGAAAAACCCTGCACAGAATTGCAGCCTCTTTACTCCAGCCACAGCTGGGTCTCTGGAGGTTACATTTGAGAAGCCAGCGTTTGCTGTGCTGTGCTTGCCCGCAGAATTAAGTCAGAAGTGCACAGATAACTTTCTGTTTGGGTTTTGGGGTATTTCTTTTTTTCCCTTTTCCCCCTGAAAGATGTGGAGATGATGGCAGATGCTCATTTAGCATTCTAACTTTTGCTATCCTAGTGCTTATCTCTAGCTCAAGCTAACTTCTAGAGCTCTACAAGCACTAATGAAGCTGAAACACACGAGCACTAATGCGTTTGAATGTTTTGTTCATAACCATTCCCTCTAATTCACTGTATGTGGAATAATCTCTGCAGGGTGACAGACTATGGTTTTCATTAGAGTTTTTTTTCTTCTGTTGGATGAGTTTCTGCTGCTGCGTTTTTTTTGTGTAAGGTGGTGTCAGCACCATGCGTTTTGTTTTCTGCAATTGCTTGAACTTTGTTTAAAAATGTTTGAGAGAATTTGTCATTGTGACCAAAGCTTCTTTTTAAGAAAAAATTGGTAAGACTAGTTTGAATGGACTTCTGGTGTTTCAGCAGAAACTGCCATCATTAAACATGTTCTTGAAATCTCCCTTGTCTTGTGTGTTATGTTTAGGGAGGGAAGGGGAAAGGGGTTGTTGAAGTTGCTTGTTGAAGTTTTGTGACTTTGGGAGCCTTGCATGAGCCCTCCTTGGAGGCTTTGGTATCTTGGAGCCCACAAGCTGCAGACCTGCTCCAGGCCCAATTGACTGAACCAAGCCATGTCCCCTCCTGGGGTGGCCAGGCCACACCACAGCTGTTAAGCAGGCTTCCTTCCACTTCAGTCTTGCTTGACCAAGTTCCCTGTTTCTGAAGCAATTTTGCTTCATGGCTTTCGGGGCATGGTGAGATGCTGAAGTGCTAGAGATAAGGACCAGGGCAATTTGAGGCTCACTTGTTTGTTTTTCTCCCATTTTAGCAGTACTCTGAAGACTGTTTCCCTCTTGCAATATTTTCACAAGGATTGCAGACACTCCTAGACCCTGGAGCAGCTACAAGGATGACTGATCTAGTAACCCGTACATGAATCTGCCCCTCTCTTCTCCCATGTGATTGCTCCTGCCTTGATGTCTTCATCTCTTCAGTAACAGTCTAAGAGTAAGTCGGTCTTCTGGAGAGAAGGCAGCTACTATCCAGCCAACACCTTTTAAATTATGTTTTGTCAGGAGAGTAAAGCTCAATCTATTTCAAAATACTTACCAAAATGCTATGGGGCCACAAGCCAACTGTTGTGCAACAAAGCTGGTTTGTGTAGGAAGTCTGAGACCCATCAAGATGAGCCCCAACCCAACACGGAGCTGTGGCTAAAGAGGGTAGGACCCCCCCTTAGCATAGGCTGCAAAAGTGAAGATGCCATGTGATGGCTGCAAGCTCTGGGTGTACTTACGTTTGTGATGAGATCTCAAGTGGAAGATGAGCAAATGACCAAAAATCTGGTGTAAATTATTATCTAATTAAGAGCTGGAAAGCTAGAGCTTGATGAGGCTGATTGCAGCTGGGGCTCTGGGCAGAGAAGGCGAGACTCAGTTTAGCCCTTTCTAAATTTTGACAGGGGAAGCACAAAGCTAAAACTTAAGTTTTTGCACAATGAAGATTTTCTCAGACAGGTCTTCGGGCACATATTGTTTTAAATTGATCCTATTAAAGGGTTATTTCTCCAATAGAGGAGTTCTGCATTGGTCAGGGTATAGCATGACTTCCACTGTCTCCTGTACATGGCTGTTGCCACCTTCATACAAGCTGCTGCTCTTATTAGCAAGTCTATGCACAGTTGTGAGGTTAAATAAATTTATCTAAGACATTTATTACTCTGGAAAAGGGAGGGAGTGCCTTTCTTGTGTCAGTGACTTAATGTCAGTGATCTTTGGATGCCTTGATACTGATAACTGCAAAATTGTCAGCGATGTTTGGCAAGTGCTATCAGAGAGGTGTTAGCTTAACCCAGATGATTTGAATTATGCCTGACACTGAGCTCTATTAAGAATATGAAACAGGAATAGCTCTAATTGCTTGAGACCATGTAGTCTGTAACTAGGCTGCACAAAAACATCATTGAAGATGGTTCATCTCCCTATCATCTGGCAATTGCCGATTTGTACGAGACCAGAAACTCTTCTCCCTTCCTCTGGTTTCTCACAGACATCTACTCCTCAGAGCTCAGCCAACTAAGCTCCAGCTTGGCTTGCTTCTCTAGTGACCCCTTGCTCGTGGCATGTTAAATGAGCTGAATATAATTTAAAACATCACTTCTACCTCACGAAAATCAACTCTTCAGTTCAAGAAGGCTGTATGGAAGGGGTGGCCGTTGCTTTTAAAGCTAAGAAGCAAAGGATCTTAAAAATCCAAATGCAGTTCTGGATGGCGTATGAGGCATAAAGCTGGTTTCTAGGCTTTTTGCTTCCCTCCTGCTGGCTTCTCATAAGCCATTTTGTTCAATTGCATCCTTCCATGTTGGGGAACTCCTCCCAGCTCCAAGGGGAGAACCTGCTTAGGCTGCAGGTGGACGGGGCAGGGGGAGGCAGGTCCTGAGGGGCTTGAACAGCTGCTTCTCAGCTTCGAGCAGCATGTTCAGTCTCTGTTTTGGAAGAGATTGTAATCTTAAATGCCAGCCTTCAAAGGCTGCCAGCCCTGGCTTGAGGACACACTCCTTGTTGTTGCCTGTCGCTGCCCACCCCATCCCTCCCACTGATCTGCACGTGAAGCAAGGGCTAGAACTTCCTGGCCAGGGTTTGTGCAGATGGGGGACTGTTGGTTTGAAAGATGAGGAGGGATAAAGATTAGATGACCTACTGTGCCATTTCAGCCAGCTTGATTTATTTTAAGTCTTTTCTATGAAGGGTAACACATATCACCTACTTAAAGCTCTTCCAGATTCCTCTGGGCTTCTTCCACTGGCACTTTCTAGATAATTTAATCTAATGCCCATGTTGTTATTCTGGCCTAGCAGCAGCTTAGCAACAGATACCTGCTCGGGACCTTTACTGGTTCCAAAACACAAATGAGCCAGTTTGGCCATCTTCTCTGACCAGCATTAGGCAGCACAGAGCACCCTTGGGGTCCCCTCTGCCAGGTCTAAAAGCCAGTGAGATAACCATGGCAGCACTCCCACTTACACACAGACAGGAGAGCCACTCGCTCCGGGCTATAGCATCACAGAAGCCAAACTCTGTCCTCCAGACTCTACATTTACTGTTGGCCCTGCTCACAGTAAATCCTCAGCTGGGAGCTTCAGGGCTGCGTTTGTCACCAGGTGACAAGTATTTTTTGCTGCCCTGACTCTGTTAGAGAAGATATGAGAGGGCCTGGCTTGATGTGGCTGGTCCTTATCAGCTCTGAAGCCAGCCCGGAATGATCACTGTGCTGTTGCTGAGCAAAAAAAATAAATAAAATGCTTCAAATCATCATCACTTCCCTGAGACATCTCTCATAAAGCCTTTGCCTCCCCCCATCAGGTGTTACCCCCCTGGCATGAATTTCCAGGCTGCGTCTGCCCCGACACAAACATATTTACCTGAAGAGAAGCTCTTCTTTACAGACCCTTTTCCTCTCCTCCTGCCCTCAATTCATAAAGGTTTAAGCTCAGGTCAAGCACGTTTGACATTTCCCCACTTCATTTCTGCCTGGCTGTCAGCAGAGTTGTCTCAGCAGCTCCTTTCCAACAGTGTCTGGAATTACCCAGCTCTCTCCTCCTCCCTGCACAGGGACCCCTGCGGTACGGATCCCGGTGGCATCAGGATGTTTCTCAGGTAAACAGAAAATATCAGCCTATCTAGGCAGTTTCTCCTGTTTCCTTTCTTTGATCTGATAAATTCTTTTGTTGAGTGGGACCAATTCAGCCTGTTGACGGTGAAGCAATGCTGTCAGAGCTCAGAAATGAGCACCACCCAGTTTCCTCTGGTATCCCTGCCACCACTTTCCCAGTTACCTTACTCCCACCCCCAGTCATTATGGTTTACCATAGATTAGTAATGCCTTTATAGATAAATCTATGGCAAATGAGGCTGTTTCTTTTTCAGAAATGAAGCAAAATGTTGCTGCAACAACCTACTGATGGATAGGTCTTGCTAGAAATGCAGACGTTGGCCAGAGGATCCTCAGGACCCTCTATTTCCCAAGACTGACTCAAGACCACAAAGCCACCAGGTAATAAAAGCCATGTGCCCAGCCTGTACAGCAGCAATCACAGAATGGTTCAGGTTGGAAGGGACCTTAAAGATCATCAAGTTCCAGAGGTCCTGCCATGGGCAGGGACGCCTCCCTCTAGACCAGGTTGCTCAAAGCCCCAGCAATCAATATCTATCCCTCGGTGAACGTCAACCATTTGGTGCTCCAGCTCTAAGCCTGTCCCCAAAACAACCACAGGCTTGGGTACAGCAGGTGGGGAATGCGGAGGCTGTGCTACACCATCAATGGAAACACTGAGAGGTGACTTCCACCATGGTTTATGCATATCAGTGAACATGGTCCTAAGTCATCACTTCCTTCTCCTCTTGCATGGCCACAGACCACCCTTTAGCCAGGACCGCTTGGGAACGAGCAAACTTCAGTGTGACTTAATTCAAAGTTCCAGTCTGAGCTCCTGTAGCTAAGACTCAGGTCTATTTAAGAGGTATTAGCATTCCTGAAGCTCACTAAGCTTAAATAAAACAATAATACCTCTCAGGGTACGTGCAGACAGGGCGAGGTTTTTGCTGAAGAGCTGCTGTTTAATGAGCTGTTCAAACGAACAACTTACTCTCAGCCCTCTGCGTATACGTCATATTTTTAAAATCACATATTTGCAGCACGTTGTTTGCTACTGTTCAAGGAAACAAATGATTTCCTTTTAACATAATCACTATCAGAAGTTATTCAGCATTTGCTGCTTGGAAGTTAAAAAGGGAATCTAAATTTCTTTCTAGTTTCTTCCTCTTTTTTATAATAGATATACAAGCTGCAGGGCACACTTTTATGCTCCTGTAGCCAAGATTTTGTAGAATTGACTAATAATCTATTTTGCATATTTATAAACACTTTATTATTTATTAATGGAGCATTTCAGGAGTAAATTTATAATCCTGCCATGTGATCTCAGCCTTTCAGAGAAAAATGGTTGCTCATGTCAAAGAGTTGGAAATTAGAGCTGGCGTAACAAAGAAATGAGGGAGAATATCTCATTAGTGTTAAAGCAAACAGGCAAGAGCCTTTTCTGAGGATGAATATACGCACACAAGAAGGCTCAAAAAAACCACATTAGATGTCACATACAGAATATGGCACTCTAGATGTTTCAATTCCCTGCTCTGCTTGGTATAAACCCTCAAGAACATAGTGCAGCCCCAGAGCCGTGTAAGAGCCCTGGTTCAACACACCATGTGCCTGCTCTCCAAGTTGCCATTACTGCACTTGGCCACTCCACTTCTAGGTATTTTTAGCTTCAGGAGCTTTGAAGAAAGTGCTGATGCCCTCCTTGGTGGATTTAAGCCTAAAGACCAGATACAAGTCTCCCTTCAGCTCTCCACATTCCACCCCACTAACGGTGGAAGTCAGAGATTGCTCACCTGCTGCCACTAT